GTTGAGATCTGCCAATATAATTCTGTTAATGCTTATTTGATCTTTCTTTCTTTCTTTCTTTCTTTCTTTCTTTCTTCTTTTTTTTTTTTTTTTTGGTACTGGGGATTAAACTCAGGACTTTGTGCTTGCCAGGCCGGCACTTAAGCCACTGAGCTATCTCCCCAGCTTATTTGATTTTTCATGTCTATTAATACTTGTTTTATATAGTTGGGTGCACTAGTATTTGTTTCATATATATTTATGATTATCTCTCCCTCTTGGATTGTTCCCTTTACAAGGAGGCAGTTTTTGTCTCTCTTAATCAATCTTAATTTTTGTTTGAAATCTATTTTGTCTCAATGTACTAGCTACCCCTGCTTTTTTCTGGGGTCCTGTTACCTAAAACGTTGTTTTCCATGCTTTGACTCAATCTGTGACTTTCTTGTTTAATTGAATGTGTTTCTTGAATGCAGCGTATGGTTGGATCTTGCTTCTTGGTCCATTCTGTCAGTTTCTTTCGATTGTTGAGACCATTAACATTGATGGTTATAACTAGTATGACTTATCCTTGTCATGTTATTTTCTGTGATTGTGGTGTGTGTGTGTGTGTGTGTGTGTGTGTGTGTCCCCATTTGTTTATCTTGCCTGGTGGATTCATTCTATTGAGATTTATGGAGTTCTAGTCCTTGTTATCTCTTTCTAGAATGTCCTTGGGAATATTCTGGGTACTTTTTAAAATGAATTTTGTAAAGTGTGCTTTGTCATGGAAGTATGTTATTTCTCCATCAATTTTGAAAAATAATTTTGCAGGGTACATCAATCTGAGTTTTCTTTTTCCTTTTTTTTTTTTTTTAATGTCATTTGCACTGACTCATGCTTGTTTTCATGGACTCTAATCAATTTTATGTTATTCTTCTTTGCATTATCTTGCAGCTGCTGGATTGATTTCTTGTGGTCCCTTGTTTTTAAGAAATCTTTCTTTTCATGATCACTGACCACAATCCTGTCTTGTGTATCTGAGATTCTGTCCTCATATTGGCTCATTCTGCTGCAGATACTTTCTGTGGAACTTTTAGTCTTTTGAATATCTGCTTGAATCTGTTTTATGGATTCTATTTCTTCTCCATGTTGGGCATTTATGGTTTCCGTGACTTTGCTAAGCTCCTTTTTTAAAAAATCTGTATCTTCTTTGGAATCAGTAAACACATCTTTCATTGTAGTTGTCATCTCTAGTTATAGGAGAAATTATTTCTGATTTTATTTATTCATGCATTTATTTATTTTGAGCCTCATTCATTTGCTTTGTTGTTACTATTTCAGAGAGGCCAGGTGAATGGCTTTGAACTGTCCCACCTCATTGCGCCCTGGGTTTGCCTTTGGTGAACTGGATGTCTGGGATTGCATCTTGTTTAAATGTCTTCTCATTTTTTTGTTTTTAAAATTTAATTCCTGGGCTGATGCTTGTACATTACCTGTGGTGAGTAGCTATATTGCTACTTCTCAGAGGTATCTTCCAGGTGTAGTTGGCTTTTGGGTTTTGAGTCTGTTGCAGGATCATACCTCTTCAATTTATGGGGGAAGAGAAGTTACTGCCTGCTTGGTTCTTTGACACTGACCCACAATATTTTCTATGATCTTTAAGCAATCTCAGTCTTGGCATACCAGAAGAGCAACTATTTAGAACAATTGTTTAGTTATACATAACCAAACTTTGGTTAAAGTGGTATGATCAACAATAACAGCATCAAACAAAAATAAAACGAGGTAACCATTAGTTTACCACCTCTAACCTTATGAACTAGATTTGTAGTTATATAAACAGGTCTAAAACAAGCCAGAAAATTATATGCACTAAAGAAGCCTTAAATATGCCAATTTTACTCTCAGGGGAGAAAATTTAAAAGGGATTAGGGGGAATAATAGAGAAACAGATGAAGAGGAAGAGATTAGAAACAATGCTGGAGAACAAAGAAGGATCACACAAACTTTGGGAAACCAGTGCAGAAAACAGGAGGGAAAGAGGGAAGGAAAAAAATAACGAAAGAATTCAACAACAACCACAAAAAATTATAAACTATATTGAAATTCATAAAAGGATCAAACACTGAAGAGAACCTTCTCCCCCCCCCCAAAAAAAAAAATGTCTAATTTAAGGTTTGTCTCTACAGTCATTGGTAGACAATGTGTAGAGACAGAGTCCAGATTCCTGTTGATTTTTTTCCAGCAAGCTGGCAGTAGGTCTACAACGGGGTAGTGGATAATCTCAATGAGCTGCATTTTTTTCCCCCATTAGTTCAGCCTGATTTCCTGGGGTGAGGCTGGACCTAGAACTGCTCAGCCTGTAGCAGTCAGTGCATCTTTGTGGGTTTGAACTCAGCTGGGAGCCACTAGATGGAGCCAGCAGTTCTGAGTTCCTAGCTCAGGTTGGTGGCTGTGTAAAATGACTCTGGTTCAATTGCCCTCTTCTGCTGGGCAGCCGAATCTGTACCACTCACCAGCCAGTGCAGTCCTCCACGTCCACTGCTCCCTTCTACTGCCGCGACTCTCCATGGGGGAGCCTCTGTGGTTGACAGCAGTCAGTGTGTGTCCACAGGTTTGAACTGCTTCTCCCACGTACTGAGTCCCCAACTCAGGGAGAATGTCCATTCACTATACCTCCTCCTCCTTCCTCTTTCTCTCTTCATTCCCCCTGTGAGCTTCAATTCTTCATAGCCCTCCTGGGTCCAGGTGACCCACTTCCATCCTTCTCTTGTCATGTTGTTCCAATCCAGTGTTTAGACACCAAGTCTGAGAGAGGCTCTCCCTATCTGCTGCTTACTACTCTGCCATCTTCCCTGAAGTCTGATTTTTGTGTTGCTTGTACTTTATTTCCATTGTGTTCCTCCCAGTTATTTTCCTGGCACACTGTGCTCTGAAATAGCCCAGAGGCTGCCTCACCTGTCCTGCATTTGCTGTGTCTCTCAATTCCATCAGTGGGCCATGCAGAGTGGTTTCCTGTGGAGCCAGGTTTGCATAAGTGCACCGTAAGGGCTGCACCCTGTTTCTCAGAATGTGTCTCCTTCATTACATGAGGTGAGACTGTAGTTGCATGTGAGATGGGAAAAGCTTTATTTTTCAATTTACGGGCTAGGATCAGTGTCTGTGAGTTTGAGATTACTTTTTATTTTTCTAATCTGTGTGCCTTACACAGTATTTGCTTGGCAAGGATTTAATAATATTCTGTTTCTCCAAGCAGCCACATTTTGATTTTGTTGATCTCGTCTTTTTCTGTTTTATTGGCAGGGAGTGTGTTGTGTGGCCTGGTTTTCCGCCCCACACTTCAGCCTTCTGCTGTGACCTTTGCCTTCTCCTTTTCTTTGTTTCTCCTGTATCCACAGCTTTGGCTTAATTTTAGAGTCTTTTGTACCAACATATGGTATTGATCTGCTTTTCATTTCTGTAACAAAACACTTAGGTTGTACAGCTTTATAAAGAAATGGAGTTTATTTAGCCAGTGTTGGACAAAGATGGAGTGGCAGAAGTGTTTGCCCAAGGATGAGGTCATCCCTCCAGCAGGAAGCCCCAGGAGCAGACAGGCTTGCCCCAGGTAACGACTTGTGAGAACTGTCATGGGGTTGCACTAAAGCCCCCTTCGCTGCTAGTGACCTACGATCTCCCATTCAGCTAAGGACCAAGTTTCCAGCACTCAGACCCTTAGGGACACTTGCCATGTGCACACATAGCCAGGCTGAAAACAAAGCCAGGATTTGAAATGACACCTTGCTGAAGCTTCAGACACAGGAGCAGAACAGTCCTTATATTTTCAGCATCTTACAGTCTTAAGCTGCCGGGGAGTGCAGAGAGTAGACCTTTTTACCATGTCTCAGTGCTGACGCCTGCTGTGCTGAGGATGTCAAGTCTGTGGGGCTCACTGACTTTGCAGAGTGTGTTTAATAAAAATGCTTCATGCATTTAATAATACTGAGCTTCTGCTGCCTGGGCTCTGGTTTATGCCTCTAGTTTATCATAGTCACATCCTTCTTAAAATGAGAGGAAATATCCTTCTCTTGGAAAGTAACATCATATTAGACTTGTGAGCTTTAATCAAAGTAACCATTAGGAGTTCTTTAAAAAGATCCCTTACCCTTTGTTTTTGTTTTTATGTTTTCATTTGTAAAGTGGGATTTTGTGTTGTTGGTATAAATAACTATTTGTATAGTTTTTTCTTTCTTTTTTTTTTTAAATGCAACATACACAAGTACAAGTATTTCCACATTTTAACTTAGATTTACCAACATTTTGACCAACATTTTCACAAAACTATATAAAAGGCAAAGCATAAGCAATTGTAAGCAATTTTAACCAAACTGTATAAGACAAAACTGTATGTCATAAAGCATGAACAACTATGAGCAATGGGCAAAGATATATCCAAATTAGAAGCATAATAATTTGTTACCTAAGCAAGACCCCATCCAGAATCTATGAAAGAAAAGTAAACTCATACCTCTGTCCAGTGATCTCAGTGAGGACCTCCAAAATGATACAGGGAACCTCCAAATGACACAGGGAGAAAAACTGATCTCCCACCCTAAAAGGTACCTGAGACAAGTTTGTGTTCTCTAAAACCAAAGAATGAATTTTAGGAACAAACGGAGGTTATGTGCAGAATATATTTATTGAGGGAAAGAAAGCTCCTGTCCAAGAGAGGGACAGGAGGGGGGCCTGAGCAGGTTGTCCCCGTTTGTATAGTTTTTATCAGTATTATAACTGTACTGGGCATTACATTGGGCAAGTAGAATCATCCATTTTTAAGACGTAGACTTGGGGCCAGGGAGATGGCTCAGTGGACTAAGCGCTTCCCTGGCAAGCGCAAGGGTCTGAGTTCAATCCCTGGTTCTGAAAAAAAAAAAAATAATAATAATAATAATAATAATAAGACGTAGACTCTATAATATATAGTCTTACATGCTTTGTAAAAATGTTTCACTAGAATGACAACGTGGCATTGTTGAGTAATTGTTTGACTTTTTGACTTGTAGAATTAACACTGAACCCTCCAGAAGGAATTGTAGCAGGTAAGCGACTCAGATAACTTCTTTATAATTTTTTTCTAAGCACCAAAGTTGCTTTTAGAGTTAAATGTTGTGGGCTTTTTTTTTTTGTTTGTTTGTTTTCCCTGCAGGCCCCATGAATGAAGAGAACTTTTTTGAATGGGAGGCATTGATCATGTAAGTTGCTCAAAGTTTTTAGTGCTTTACTAAAGAACCTAGGAATAACATTTAGCAGTGTGACAGTGCTCTGAAGCTGACTTGGAGGACAGGGCAAGTGGTCTTGTGACTCTCAGTGTGTCCCCTGCTTCCTTAGCTGTGGATGAGGGCAGCTAGACATCTATTCAAAAGCAGTGATAGTGCTTCCTTAGAAGTAGTAGAGATTTAGTTCTGAATCATGTTTGTAGTTTCTAGATACTGTGTCTTCTGTTAGGAGAAATAAAATGCCTTCTTTTTCCTCTGCTTTCACACCACAATTGGCGTGGAAAACTGTGACTCCAAAAGATCTGAGGGGTTCTTCCCACTGTTAGGCAACCTTTGCTTCTACGGTTGACCCAAGCTGGATATCCTCCATTGCAGTTCAGGCTCACTATCTCCTAATAGTCTTCCTATCCCATAACTGGAAGCTCCATCTCCAAGATGGCCCCCAATTCAGTCCCAGTCACAAGTCCAGTCTACAGAATTTCTGGTTAGCCAGCTGCAGACAGGTTCCTCTGACCTTGCCAAGGCTCCCAGAACTTGGAGAAATACTTCCCTGTTTGGCTGATGTATAGCAGAAGATACTAAAGGGGTGCACATAAGAGGCAGGATGGAGGATGCATGGGTGTAGTGTGGACCTCCCCATGAGCCCACCTGTGCTCAGCCCTCCACAGTGTTCCCAGGGTGTTTAGAGGGCTTTAGAGAGATGTCACGGCAAGGGGGCGGTTGCTCACAAGACATGAGGAAGGTCTTATGACCTCCTGTCAGCCAAGGGTAAGTCAGAGACTAGTTATGGTTCACTGCAAAATAGAAAGGAAGGGAAGGCTAGAGTTTGTTTCTTAGAGGAAGAGACATTCTTGGTTCTGAGACCTGCCTTGGGGAAGGGCTAATAAGCCAGGAATCATGGTCATGACCCAAGAAATACATATCTCTCACAGTCTCATGGTCATTGTGGGTTACCCCTAAATTATATGGGTGGCTTTAGTTTCCAGAAGTTCCTAGACAACTGAAGTTTTGGCAGTAAGAAAGGGACCTTGAAGCTGCTGGTGCATGTGGGCCTGCCTTTCCTGCAGGTGGGCACTGCTCATCCTCCCTCCCTTTCAGCTCCAGTTCTCATTCAGCTTGCCATCATGGGGTTGATGGGCCCTCTAGTTTTTGGTCCTGGGATGCAGCGTGCTCTGAGGGAGCAGTGTGGTGCCTAACTCCCCATTAGATTTCAGGATATTGAACTTCAAGTGATGTTGACTCAAAGGACCAATAGGCAGGCCAGGCTCCAGAGTGTTGTGTAGCCCCCTAGTCCACCCTGCACTTTTCTTCTTTATCCTTCAGGTGCTTGACAACATAAGGAAGGTAAAATTCAGGAAGTAAAAATTTGTCATCAGTCTCCTGCTTTTCTTGTTTGTGAAGTGGGCTATTTCCATGAGTTAGAAGGGGGTTTTTTTGTTGAGTTTCGCTGGGTGGAGCAAGCTCTGGTGGGGGGACAGGAAGAAGCATCCTGGTACCTGTGCCTGGAATGAGTTCCATGCAAGGACCAGACATTCTGCCTGTTGCTTGTGTGTCAGTTCATGATCAGATTAAGAAACACATTGATGCTGCACAAAGGCTAGGTCATACATGAAAGCTTTTGATACACAAACTATTCTAAAAATCATTAGCAGACATCATACAGACAACGTATAGCAGGCCTGACATTTCCTGATAATTTGTAAGGCTAATTACCTTGGTGACAGAAAAGCTCCTGCTTTTTCTGTCTGAACACTAGTGTTTCTTGTGTTTGTGTCTGATGTGTTATGGTTGGCCCTTCTTATCTCTGGGGGATGTTCAAGGTCAAGTCAACACCCATGGTTGCAGGAGGGCTTGGAAGGTGTCAGCTCTTTGGTGCAGCACATGGACAGATTTAAAAGCTTTTATAAGGCACAGTTGCACCCTCTACCCATGGGTTCCTGAAACTGTGGATAGTGCTGAATGCCGTGCTAAACACTCTGTATTCCTGAGTGTATGTGTCTGTGAGAAGCCTAAGTGCTGAGTTAGGCAAAGAAAGACCCTGTCTCAAAAAGATATCATCATCATTATCAACAACAACAGTGAATAGCCAGTAAAATAGAACAGGTATGGCAGTATTTCTAGTTAAAGTTACTCATTTATTTTTTTAAATTTTTTTTTGTCTTTTTGAGACAGGGTCTCACTTTGTAGTTTGGGCTGTTCTTGAGCTTACTTTGTAGCCTAGGCTTGTCTGGAATTCACAGTGATCCTCCTGCCTCAGCCCTCTGAGTGCTGGGATTATAGATGTGCTCCACCATGCCTGGCCTATAAAAGTTATTTAGAACTTGTGTTATTTGCAGAATTTTCTGGTGAATATTTTCAGACTTTGCAGAAGTGGAGCACACATAAGAGCACTGGAGTGCTGAGCCTTTTGTGCAAGGGAGGTGTGGGCTGACAGGAGCCCCTTGAGTACTGTACCAGAATGCATGGCAGATGTAGCAAAGAGATCATGCATATGAGCTGAGGTGTGACTTGTGTCTCGTGTCAACAGGGATACGCAGCTGTACAGTGTGCCAGCTGCAGGGTGCAAATGTGCAAGGAGGTCCTACAAGGTCAGCTTAGCACCCATGAGTGCTGGAGGGTTTGGGAGGTGTCAGCTCTTTGGTGCACCATGTAGACAGATTTAGAAGCTTTTAAGAAGGCACAGTTGCACCCTCTAGTATGGTTTTTAAAAATTGGTTTGTTAAAAATTTGTTAGGGTAACTATTACAAATTTTAGATAAACAGTATAAAATTAAACTAATATTTTGAAAACCTGTCTTAAGAAAGCAATTAGAACTGTTTTGGGGGAAAGCACTTCTGTGTTTGCATAAGGCTTTGCATTCCTGTGGAATTCCCCTGCTTCAAGATTGGTGAGTTTGTGGGTTTTGGGTTTGCTCCAGACCCTTCACAAACAAGAGACCATTTACAGATGTACTTAAACATCTATTAGGGAATTAACTGTCCTCCTGTCAGTTCATCTCACCCTTCTGTTTTGGCAGACAGCTGCCTGGGCTTCTGCTCCTCTGTAATAGACTCTCCTCTTTCTCTCTACTCAGATGGTTTGCAGGGTCACCTCTGGGCCTCATATCTCTGGGCACCAAGTTCTTTTCTTTTTTTCCCTGTCTTTTTGAGACAGGGTCTTTCAGTGCAGCTCAGTCCGGCCTTGAGCTCACTTGGTAGCCCAGGCTGGTCTCAAACTCACAATGATCCTTCTGCCTCAGGCTTCTGAGTCCTGGGAGTACATCAAGCTCTTGTGGAGTCCAGTGCTGCTGGCTTTTGCTGGGAACCTGCCTGCCAGGCCTCTTGCTTTACTGGGCTTTGAAGTGGAGGGCCTGCCTTTTCAGGTGTTCAGGCAGAGCATAGAGGGTTTTTGGGACAGGGCCTGTGTAAAGGCATCTGTCCTGGATGAACCCAGATTTCTCCTCAGAGAGGTCAGGGCTGAGGGAGCAGGCTGGGAAAAATGGCAAATTAATGAATGAGTGCTGGACTGTACAGCAAAGTCCTCACAGGCAGTGTCTCTGATTAAAAGTGGGAGGGACCTCTGAGCTGTGACCCAGCAGAGTATGGCTGTCACTGTGGGTTACAAGGAATGGGCCCCCAGAGCTGTGTGTTTCCAAGCTCTTGGCCTCTGTGGCCTGCAGAATGGTCCAGCTGCCAGGCATGGTGGCACATGCCTGTGATCCCAGAACTTGGGAGGCTGCAGCAGAGGATCACCATGAGTCTGAGGGCAGCCTGAGTTACATAGTGAGACTGTCTCAAAGAAACAAACAAAAATGAATAAACAAAAGTGGTCCAGCTTTGGTTGGACCCATACCTTAAAATCACTTCTAGCCCTAGAGCCCATGGCCTTTGAGACCTTGTTGTCTAAGTTGTTGTATTGGGGTACAGTTGGGAGTACTTCTGTGGAATAGGAGCCCGTGAAGCAGGTCAGCTGGCATCATCAGTGGCTATCAGGGTGGAGGTTCCGTGGAATCAGTGTCCTCTTCTGTCCTGCCTTGGCTCCAGAAGCTACTGGCGCTAGTCATCTATCTCCCACTCTGTGTCCTTGCTGCAATCATCTGTCCAGATTAGCAGACTCATGAGGCTGTGATTATTACTTGAGAAGGACCTTCTTCTTCCAGAAAGGCTCCTGTCTTTGGTTGATTTCCATCCCTGGGTTCCTGCCCGTGCATCTGGGCCCAGGAGAAAGTACTTGTCCTGAGGTTCTTGCAGGCTGTTGCTGCTCCTGCCCAGCTGCCCAGCCAATGTGTGATCACAATGACCATCTCTGTGCCAAAATGTCTTTTTTACTGAAAACTGTCATAGGACATCTCATGTCAGTATCTAAAAGGTTCCTTTGTGAGGTAGTTGATTGCAGTATCCCAGTAGTAGTGAAATGGGAGAATCATTGCTCCTGTAGTGAGGGCTGCCCTGCAGTGAGGTGCCAGGGAGCAGCACAGGGAGGCTCTGGTAAGGTGTCAGGTAACAAGTAGGCCTAGACCAATGGTTTCAGCTGAGCACGTTCCCCACAGGCATGTGGCCATGGCTGGCATCTTTTTGACTGTCACAACTGGGTTGAGGAGAACTCTACTACTGCCACTAGGTAGGTGAAAAGTACCACAGGCATGGGGCAGCCTTCACAAGCAGGGAGTAACCTGTTGAAAGGATCAGGAGTGTGGGGTTGAGAAAGTCTGATTAGAGCATGGCACATTTTCCCTATGTGACTTTTGTAACAGGGTTATTAAGATATGTAACATGCTAGTACGTTTGATCTACGTGTGGTATGCAAGCCAGTAGTCTTATTAGGGTTTTGCAATCTCACTTTCACCCAGTAAAGAAATGTTTTAGAGCATTTCCAGAAAGATCCCCATGCCTATTTCATGCCAGTCCCTGTTCCCACCATCAGGCACAGGCAGTCACAGTTCTGCTTTCTGATTTAGTCTGTCTTCCCTGAATACTTCCTGTAAGGAGCCCTGCAA